GGTTGCTTGTCATTCGCGCTGACAATTGAAAAAAAATAGTTATCTATGCCACCGGTAGTGAATAAATATTAAAAACAAACAAACAAATATTCGTTTCTTATTCGCTCCCGAAGCCACGAATAACGCACAGATTAAATACAACGTCAACTAGACAGAGTGCACTCACGGAGAGTGCATACCTCCGCCAGAATGTAACATATATGTACCACCCTTCACAAACAACCGGCAGTCAGTCGCACACGCATTTCCAGAGTTACGTTTGAGATGACGATTCAACATTGCAGCACACACACGTCGCACACGCCTACGCCGCGTCTACACCACGTCACTAAATAACACGCGGGAACAACAATTTTCGAGAAGCCAACGTCATTACATAGTGCTGGAATCACTGATCTCTATTATACTAACTATTATAACTATTATAACTAGTATAACTAATTTAATTATTAACTATTATAATAACTATTATTCTAGTTAGTATAATAGAGATCAGTGGATCAGTGGCTGGAACCCTGTACACGTCTAACGTAACGTGACGTACGTAACGTGACGTAACGTCTACATCACGTCACAAACACGTACGGGAACAACAATTTTCGAGAAGCCAACGTCATTACATCACCGATTTCTATAATATAATCGAGATCAGTTATTATTAATCGAGAGTCAGATTATATTATAGAGATCAGTGCATTACATAGTGCTGGAAATAACAGCCAGTCCCCCCAGTTCGGAGCCGCGCCATCTGTTGAGATTGACTGGTTCTCTTTTTGTGTATTGTATTATTTATGGGTTATATCAGGAGTTAATAATTATTCACTCCTGGTTGTATAGTTAATTATAGAAATTAAGCTGGGGGGATTCAGACTTATTTCCAAGACTGCATTACATGCACGTCAGCACTGGGCACACTACAGACACACGTAAATTACCTACTATAGTATACGTGCTTCACTTTCTACTTATGCATGTAAACTTTCTACTTATACATAACTTAGTGCTTCACTTTCTACTTATACATCACAATCACATGATGAAAGACACGCTCAACACTGCGTTGGCCCCTATAGCCACATAAATACGTCGCGAAAACGGTATGACAGCGAGATTAATTGCTCTTCCAAACGGGTTCCCCTTCCGGTGCTTTACCCCCCCCCCCCCTT